TACCTCAACCTATATATAATTTTATAAAATATTTATTAATTTAAAATAAAAATTATGTGCTTTTCATTTAGGCTGCTAAAGAAGATCCATACTATTCGAAAAATTTTTTATATTTAGGACATTATTATCTGAAAACTAATCATGATTTTATGTAAGTTGAGAAATCAGAATGTTTTTCTTTTAAAATTTACTTAGCATGTTTAAAATTATTTATTTTATTTTACTTTTTAAGAAAAGCATTAAAATGTTACAAGAAAGCATTTGAATTGGATATTTATGAAGAAGAAGCAGGAATAGCTTTAACTGATATTTTAAAGGAAATGAAAGAAGATGTAAGTTTAATGAAAATTTTTTTTCTGTATCTTTAATATAAATTACTAATAAATTTATATCTATAACACACAAGATACCAATATATACTCTGTTACAAAAAAATTGACATGCTTCTAAAAATAGAGCAAAAGCCACATATGAAACTCAATGGGCAAATGCCATTTTGATGAGATAAGCAAATGTCAATGATTGCACCAGAGGTTCTCAAAAGTGAAGCAGAAAATGCATTCTGGTGTTTATATAAGGAATGTCATCTACACTGATGCAGATTTGATAGGTTTTGTTGTTTGATTACATTAAATAACAATGTTCCTGTCCCTGCTGTAGGTTGCATTTTCACATTTTGCAAAGTTTTAAAGAAATGGTGATGATAACTTGAAATTGGACATGGAAGTTCAAAAGTAGGTGCTACCATGAAAGAAATAACTGTTGCACATGGGGTTTTCCAAAATCTAGGAAACAGATGAAGAAATAAAGAGGCTATCACACGAGTGAGTATTTTATAAAAAATAGATGGAAATCAATCAGGACTATAAGTGGAAATAACAAGAGAATCTATGGCTTTTATAAGAACAGAAAAGGTAAATAAATTTTTAGTAGTAGTATATCCCAAATGGCATGCACCAATATTCTCCACTTGAAATGTTTTATTCTGAGCTTCTGGAGTAAGTTAAAGTAACATGACTATATATATAAATGTAATATTACTATAAACACTGAAAATGTGATCATCATCTGTAAAATTGTGATGTTTCATCTTTGATTTAGAGTCTAAGGATGTTATGCCAAAATGTTTTAGGGTCACAGACAAAATCAGAAACAATTCTTTGAAAATAATTCAAATATTGAGTTTTACATTCACTCTGAGAACTCTTAATAGCTATGTGATATAAATACAATGATTCTGGGGATGCTGTCCCTTTTCCATTGCCATTACAAAGTCCTAGTATGATTACGTAATCTTTTCAAAACTTTTTTGACTAGCTGTATTAATACGTTTATATGGTAAGTATTTCCCCAAAGAGACAATAAAGATATTGTGTAATTTCTGTTTGATGATATAGGAAGAGCAAAGAATAAAAACCAGTTACAAGAGCTAAGATAGACAGAAAACTGATGCCACTGGACAGCAGACCAGATGGGAATATTAATAAAACTACTTTGATGTATATAAGAATCATGATTTTTATGAACAATTATTTGAATAGCTTGATAATCCGAAGAAAAACCCGGAGTCGAGTTAGTTGTAATTAAAGAATGAAAAGAATGGAAGGAAAAAACCAAATCCAAAAAAGAATTATGAATGGGAAAATTTACTGAATTGTTTATAATCAAAAAAGTAAAAGATATTATTTATAAAGTAGTTTTCTGCTCCATCTAAACAGGAATATGAAGGAAACAAGGAATACTATGTAATATTGGTAAGATTAAAATCACCGCAAAGGAAAAACTCACAATCCTTTATGGGCTGAAACTAAAAAGAAACTGCTGAAGGAAAGCAAAAATAACATAATGCTTAGGATGGGGGCGTAAACTATTATGATGTAACACTGAAGTTGGTCAATTCTAATGAATAAAATAAAGTTTTTCAATATTCATAATTTCTATGTACTTGTAAGTGATTGTAAAATGCAGCCATAATTCCTCCACCACATTGAGTAGCTTGGAACATTGAGATAGAATTGAACCCCAAAGTTTCAATAATGTACAAAATATCTTGTGAGTATGGTATCTCCCATGTTTCAGTGAATATATAGAGATAAAAAATGAGTACAAATTAGTAGAGTTTTTCTTTATAGACCTCACATTTTGAAGAAAAATCTAAAACATTTCCATAATACAGGTTTAAATTAAAAATAAAACTTGAGATTGTTTTTATTAATATATTTTAAGTTTACAAAATTTAAGTACACAAATCTGCAGACACCAAAAATGCATCAAAAGATACATTGTAAAAGGGACAAAAAGGAAACAGAGCCAAATACCACAAAATGCCAAGAAGGTTAATTGACAACTAACAAAGTAAAAAATGAAATAAATGTAAAAAATAGTAACTAATAGTCACTAATCTGAAAATCAGTAATGCAAATAAATAAATTAGATTTAGAAAATAATCAAAAATTGTCAAAGAGAAATTGGAATTAAGCTCTATTCCCTCTTTACTTCAATGAGGCTCGAAGCAGGTACAGCACTTTTAGCAGTTCGAAAGGGCAAGTTGACTGATGACAAGGGGATGTGCCACTGATGATAATGTTAGTTTACAGATGATGGAGGCTATACTGGTGCATGAGAGAGCTAAACAAAGATTACAAAAGATCTACGGTAGCAATAAAGTTCAAATTGGCAATAATATCTTGGTGCAAAAGAAACCTGAAAATGAACAATGCAAAAAAATAAATTGGATTTAGAAAATAGTCAAAAGTTGTTAAAAGGAAGTTGGAATTAGGCTCTATCTCTTTTGCATTTCCCTTTATTCCTCAGTACTTTCTTATTATTAAATGTATTGCACCTTATTACAATTATGTATAATATAAAATTATTACCATAGAAATACTGATTGTGTGCAGTGGCAATTGAAATCTTCAATTAGAAAATAAATTCAGTTTAGCTAAAGGATTGGCAAAAATTAAGAAATTTTCTAGGGAACACTGTGTAGTCTGTAAAGATGCCTAAACAACACCTCCACTGGCAGTATATGCAACTAACAAGGGAACTGTCGGAGTGTCTTCTAATAAATTTTAATAAAATTTAGTTAATAACTACGTTAAAAGTATACAAACTCTATTTTAAATTTGTAGCATTCACTAAAAATGTTGATCAGAGTTATTAGCAATAAAATGCTGCACTACTTTATACTAGTTTAACACAATTATGCAAATTTTAAGAAGTGAAAGGGTCGCGGAGGAAGACGGCGATATTACATTTAGAATAAATTCTGGAATTTTCAAAAATGGGAGAAGAATTAATAAAATTTAGTTAATAATTATGTTAAAAGTATACAAAATTTTATTAATTCTTCAACCATTTTTGAAAATTCCAGAATTTATTCTAAATGTAATATCGCCGTCTTCCTCCGCGACCCTTTCACTTCTTAAAATTTGCATAATTGTGTTAAACTAGTATAAAGTAGTGCAGCATTTTATTGCTAATAACTCTGATCAACACTTTTAGTGAATGCTACAAATTTAAAATAGAGTTTGTATACTTTTAATGCAGTTATTAACTAAATTTTATTAAAATTTATTAGAAGACACTCTGACAGTTTCCTTGTAAGTGAGTTTGAGAGAGGTGGTGTCAAAGGTGTAAGAAAAGTCAGGTGGTCATGCCGATATGTCAGCTGTCATCTTGGTTGAAGCAATGTGGCAATAAGATAATGATGGCAGCAATGGGTCTCTTGATGTATCTTGAAGAAAGTGTTCTATTGCTATGAAACTTGTCACATGCAATGAGTATGTAAAGCTGAAAAAACACATTGTCATTGCAAAAGAATTTTTAATTAGAGCACAGTACCAATGTAATAGTCATGTGTTAGTACGATACATAGTAAAACCTCCTCCAACAGTGATACATTCCAGATCTGTGGCGCTAGTAGTCACAGTAGTCGAATGCATCGTACCTGGGCAGTCATCTCCTATGACACTGGATCCCCTAGTAATGCTAGAATATATAGCTGCATTACTAGGCAGTTCAACTGGCTGCAGAATGTTGTCAACATACTAGTTGAACTGCCTGTGACATCACACCTTCCAGGACTATTTACCAGCATGATAATCCCAGACCTCAAACAGCAAGAATTTCTAAACAATGTCATTAGGATGTTCATACTCTTCCACCTACGTCCTCAGACCTCTTGCTAATCAAGCTTGTGTGGGATATGCTAGGAAGGCAGTTGCAATTGTCTTGGAATGTGAACACAACAATTGAATAATATCTGGCAGAATCTGTCACAACATTAGACTGTTGTTTGATTTCACATTACGCCACAGATCTGGAATGTATCACTGAGGTTTTACTATGTATCGTACTAACACATGACTATTACATTGGTACTGTGCTGTAATTAAAAATCCTTTTGCAATGACAATGTGTTTTTTCAGCTTTGCATACTCATTGCATGTGACAAGTTTCAAAGCAATAGAACTCTTTCTTCAAGATACATAATTTTCTAAAACAAAGTGTATAAAGCAAATTGTAATTTTTGTAGAAAGTTACAATTTTATATTTATATATATATATTAAGTATAAAATTCTGTAATAAATTTGCAAATTAAATTTATTTAGATATGTAAATTACTATACAGTTTCTAAGTTGCTACTTAACTGAATTGTTCTAAATTTTGTTTAATTACAGGAAACTAATCTTCAAGTGTTGCAAAAAGTTGTTAAACAATCACCAATAGGAAGGTAAATTTAAAATTTATATTAGTAATTTAATATATGATCATGATGTTTGACAACTGATAATATTGATGTATATGAAAATTTAGCTTAAAAAATTCCTGAAAAATTATTATATTTTACTTAGCAAATAAAAAATTAAAGATTTTTTAAGATTATTTATCATAAATTTTAGTGCTAAATGGGCAAGATTTAGACTTGGATTATATTACTTACACCATGAAAATATCTCACTTGCAATAGACACACTTCAAGGTGCACTTCATTGTGATCCTACAGACAGGTAGAATTTTTCCTAGGTAAATGTGGAAACTGTTTATTTAACTTATAATTGACATTGTAAAATTTTTAGTCAGTGCTGGGAAACTATCGGAGAAGCTTATTTGCTTAGAGGTAGTTACAATTCTGCACTGAAATCGTTCGAAAAAGCAGTCGAACTCAACCCATCAAATTTACACTCTCGTTATTGGTAAGAATATTTTGTTGTTTTTAATCTTGAAAATATTTTTAAATAATATCTTTAATATCTCACAGTGTAGCTCAAATTCTACTAATTACAGGCATCTATACAGATGCAATTAAAGAATTTCAAAACATTCTTAAAATAGAACCATTCTATATTGCAGCATTTAAAGGTAAATCAGTATTTTAGTGTAATTTTTTGTTGTTGAAGTATAAATTTTTTTAATAATAAAAATTTTTACAATTAAGGATTAGCAGAGTCATTTTTATATCAGGCAAAATATTATCTGAATGAATGTTTCTTTGGACGATTTAAAGATTGTTGTCGAGATGCAATTTGTATATTATCAAGGTAAAAGTAATTAAATAATAATTGAATGATGATAATTAATGCGTTATATTACTTTTATTTACATTTATATATAATTTTTTAGTTTTTCTCTAATAATAGGATTTTAGGATATTAGGAACAAAAGAATGACTAATTTCAAAATTCAGTAATTTAATCATGTAGAAATCATTTAATTTAATCAATTAGACTAATAATGAATAAATAAATAATGGATTTGTAAGTAATTACTTTAATATTTTAAAAATTTTAATATTTTTTGATTATTTGCAATCACATATTAGTTGCTCCTTTAAGTTTTGTTTCAGGGTTAACAGCTTTTTATTTTATGTAGAAGATAGAATAAAATAAAATTTAGAACCAAGGCATTTCATTTATGTTATAATCTATAAAGTTGAATTTCTTTCACTTAAATTATTACAAGTTAAGATTTTATTATATTTTTATGCATTTGTTGCTATATTATTGTATTAGGTTTTTCAACAAGTAATGTTATATTTCTTCTGTTTTATATTAGTTATGTTCTGACACATTTGTATCATACCTATTAGTTACAGTTCTTCTCAGTTCAATGAAGATGTGTTTGTTTTATTGTCTAAAGTGATAGCAATTATAAATGTTTCTTGTTCTTAGCCATAACAATAACACTGATTATTATTTCAAAAATGTATTTTCTTTTTGTTTTTATTTGATTGTTTAATCTTAAATGTCAGAATGTCATAAAGTGGCAAAAGTCAGACCTGACATGGAAACCGTAGGGGCAGGAGGTCTCGATTAACTATATACGAACTTCTGATGCAAACCTGAAGTCACGTTATTTCCCCGAAATATGTTAGATAGATGACCGGCATGACTATTGTTAAAGGAAAAGTATGATGTATGGGGCAAGCCAATACTATTAATTTGAGGTGGAGAGCATATATTTTAAATTAAATAAATTAAAAATATGATTACAAATTGCAGCCCGGCATTGTGACAATGTCACAATAAATAATTGCTCGTAAAATATAGATTTGATTTTGTTCATTGATATGTCTTCTTTCAAAATATTATTTAAGACTCTGTCTTGTATTCATTTGATAAAAGAAAACAATTATCGATCAAATTAACAACACACTTTCTAAAGCTATTGCATTGATGAAAAGCATTTTTTTACTACATTTTTTTTCTACATCCAGCAAAAATGTACAGAAATCAATGAAAAAACAACAAATTATGTGTGTTATCTTAACAATTTAATGCTATGTAGTAACCATGTACATTTTAAAAATAGTTGACTGAGGAGGGGCATTGTGAGCCCAAAATGTGTATCAACTAAAAAAGAATAAATAAAGGATGAAAAGATGCCTAGTGTCTGATTGACTGCACTTTATTGTGGTTGTGAAACAAAGAAAAGAACTTTTGTTGAAAAAAGCATTTTGTCTAGAACAGTGGTTCTTAACTGGGGGTACAAGCATAAATCAAAGGGGTACATCTAACTTTCATTATAAAATGGTGTATGTTAATCAATTTGCTGTAAATTATTAATACAAGAAACAACAAAAACTTGCTTTAAAATATCCCAGTGTGAACACTGATTTCCCTTTTAGCAGTCTAAACTTGTTTATTCACTTGATTTGCCTATCTATTTGTGCCGTTAGTGCTGAGTGAACCTCTAGTCTAGTAAAATTACAATTTAACCAATCATTAATTTTAGAATAGAAAAAAATTTTTTTTCTATTCTATAATTATTGCTTGATAAGATTGGGGTTTTTCGTGTTTTTACTGGACTACTGGTATTAGGAATAACAAGGCCTGGATCATACCCTCACCATGCAATGCGTGTCACTGCATGCGTGCATTACTTGATATTTAGCAAATTTAGACATTCAATTTGTTACAAAAATTGAAAGATTCATGTTTTGTTATGCACGTTATAAATTTGCAGCCATTACTTTCAAGGTCAGTACACAATTATAATCTCTATTTAACAACGTGGGAACCAAATTTTGAAAAAAATTGCTGAAGATTTATTGCAACAAATATCCCATTAAATTTTGTTAGAAATTATTGTAGAATAATTTAAATTTTCTTTATCGTTAATTATAATTATTTATTTTTAGGAAATGTAATTTATGCATGTATTGAAATGACTTGTGTGATTTTATATAATATACTTATCAAATAATAAGAAATAAATGTATATACCTGATTAAATTTATTATTATTTATGTAAAATAAGTAATTCACTTTTAGTTACAGTTAGTTAGAGTTTTTTATGGTGCTCAGTTATAAGGGCTGTATACATTTAATGCAGTAATTATAAAATTTACATACAAAAATATAAGGGGTACTTGAAAAACAACTAATGGGCTAATAGGGTACATCAACAAAAAAGGTTGAGAACCACTGGTCTAGAAAAATTTGTTATATCCAGTTAATTAATACAGCACTTTTTCTGAAATTACAATTGATTTAATATAGAATTGAATCTGTCAATCTTAAAATTTATTTTTTTCACTGCATTTTCAGCCTGAATTTAATACATTTTCCATGTTTATCTCAAATAATTTTCTCCTGAAACCTCTATATCTTAAAATTATGAACTGAAGTGTTGGTTAATAGATTGAAAGCTTGGCGACTACATTTTGATAGCATAAATTGTAATTAAGAAATACCTCTTGCAATACGATACATATTTTAGTTGTGATTAATGCTGCTTTTCTCTGATTGGCTATGAGTTTGGCTTACATCTTATTGGTTGAAGAAAATTAGGCATCAGAAACTATTGACAAACTATTTCTGTTAAGATATGTCAAAAATGTTTTATTTATACTTAATACAGGTATATACTCTACTTGCTATTGCATTAATAAAATACTGTACCTCCAATCAAACTTATTACTCTTTCTAACTAAAAAATTCAAGATATGGAGGTTTCTACACTGTGTCTCGATATTTTTTTTTAATTCTCATGACATTCAAGATAGACAGATATAATTATAGATAATGTGAGCAGAATTGATTTAAATTTGTGACAAATCCATATAAAATCAAATTTTTTATTTTTACATTCCACAAACATTATATTGATAATGGCAATTATCATTTTTTTAGACTTCTGAACCATCCAAAAGTAAGAAAATTCAAAAAAAAAATTTTTAAATCTTATTTTTAATCTACTGATTTGTCTTTTAAAGTGAATGATTATGTTATACTTGCTGAGTTTTCCTTGTTGATTACAGATATATAACCTTTCATTTAGAATATGTTTTAGAAATACTAATCATTAATAATAGATACACATTTTAGCACAAGATTAAACTTTTTGTTAGTGTGAATTAGTGAGAAGACAACAATTACAATAAATTATATGATATATATCTTCATATTATCACAACAATTTCCTCAAAGTTTTTTTGACATACTGGTAGGCCTTCTACAATGTGGTAGATACGTTCCTTGAAAATACCGCGTTGTGGGAAATCGCGTTATAGGAGATGCCAACTTTAATATAAAAACTGGGATTTTGTTTTAAAAAGAGAAAAACTTGGCATTTGAATGGCGTTTTTAAAATTTTTCAAACCAGCCATTGCTAGCCACGAATTTAACACTGGTTTCATCAGCTAATGACTGTCCCACTTGTTTTAAATAATCAAATATTTTTAAGGCTTTGTGTTTAAGTGAACTTTTATTTAAAGGCAACCGTTTCTTGTTCATATCTTCTACCCATAATATTAGCACTTGTTCCATTTTTTCCATTATAGGTGCTCTCGGACAAGCAACATTTTTCGCAAGAATAGATGATCCGGATGCAACCGAATTCCTAATCTTTTCTTCTGATTGCTTAATCGACCGAATAGTTGACTCATTTAAATTAAAATGCCTACCAATATCAGCTATCCGCTCTTGATTTTTAATTCGTCCAAAATTTCTATCTTTGTTTGAAGAGATATAAATTTCCTTTTTAACAACAGTTCTTTTCATTCGGCATTGTTGTTATTGCTAAAATTTTTTCAATCGGTTTTATGGACAGTAAAAATCGCAAAAAATCCCTTTACTATGTTGTTAAAAATGTATACCCAATAGAAGTTTATACTTATTTTGGACCATTTTTGCGGTCCACACCTATTGAAAGAGTATAAATGATGAAAAATTTAGTGGTATATTTGAGTGTTTACGGTAACTGATGCATATCTGCCTAGAAATTGGTCTTCCCCTGAAATTTTTTCGGAACGGCATGTCAACGTTGACAAACAGCTGTTTTCAAGGACATTTAGCTCTGTACACTGAACTGCAGCTCATATCACTTGATCCATTGCGAGTTTTTTGTTATGTGAAAGATAATTCGTTTCTAAATACTGTAAACCACGTTGTAAAAGTACAGTAGAGCCTCGATTATCCGACCCCCGATCAACCGACCCCTCGGTTAACCGACTGTCCTAGTCGGCAAATTTCAAATGTCCACTATTGATGTGGCACTACAATATTTGGCTATGTCTTGGCTACTTTAATATTATTTTTATGTGTTTTACCTGGCAACACTGGATCGACTATGAAAGGGAGCCAGTATTTAAACGAGGCTTAATTTTCAAATTTTTAACGATTCAATAGCAACAATTATTATTTTAAAAAATTTTTGTTAGGCTTAACATTGATGAAAATTTCAACACGATGTAGGTTAATAGCGATATACTAATTACATGGGATATAATAATATACTACACTAATAATGTATTTTTTCATACTTTTCGGTTATCCGCCCTTTCAATTATCCGACCAACCCCATTCCCCAATTAGGTCGGATAATCGAGGCTCTACTGTACCATGTTGTAAGAAAATTTCTGCATTTTTCCAAACGCGTTGGAGTGAAAACGCATTGTAAAGGTACCGCGTTGTAGGAGGCCTACCTGTATATAATTTTACATTGTAAAAATCCTTACTTTGCCATTAGCCCAGCAGAGTGATATACAGAAAACTGTTTTACAACTTCTACACTTGGATGCATCCTATTGGTCAATTTT